CCTGTTGATCACAGGTATCCTAGTGGGTGTGAAGTGGTATCTCATTGTGGTTGTGTTTTTCCCTAAAGACTAATGATGTGGACCATCCTTTCCTGTGCTTGTTAGATGTCTGCATATCTTCTTTGGAGAAATGTCCATTCAAGTCCTTTGCCCATGTACTAATGGAGCTGTTTGTCTTTTCGTTGTTGAGTTGTAAGAGTTCTTTACATATTCTGAATTTTAATCCCACATCAGACATTTGATTTGCAGATACTTTCTCCCATTCTTGGGTTGTCTTTTCACTCTTTTGATGGTGTCCTTTGATGCAGAGAAGTTTTGCCTCCCTCTTATAAGGATCCCTGTGATTATACCTAATAATCCAGGATAATCTGCCCATCTCAAGATCCTGAATGTAATCATATCTCCAAAGTGTATCCCTTTTGCCACATCAGGTAAATTTTTTTAAAATATCTTTTTTTTAAACACTTAATTCATTTTTTTGAGAGAGAGCACAGACAGGGAAGGGGCAGAGACAGAGGGAGACACAGAATCCGACGCGGGCTCCAGGCTCTGAGCTGTCAGCACAGAGCCCGACGCGGGGCTCGAACCCATGAACTGCGAGATCATGACCTGAGCCGGAGACAATCGCTCAACCGACTGAGCCACCCAGGCGCCCCACCACATGCGGTAATTTATTTGCAGGTTTTGATGATAGGATGCGAACATCTTTGGGGGAGCCATTATTCTGTTACGATTCTTTTCAAAAAGAAAAAATGTCTACAACGTCAGAATTGTGAACGTACTCATGCAAAAAGGTGAAAGCAGGTAACGTTGAAAGAAAGCAGCCTGCCTGGTGTGTGTAGGACCTGATTCCACTGTAGGTCCTGATTCCACTTACAGGGCTTCTGCCCTGATACCCACCGTGGCCGGGGCACCCCATGCTGGGTGGGTTACTTAGTTTCTCTGTTTGCTCTCAAAATGGGACTAACTGTCCTTCCTCTTTTCCTCCTGTGAGTCTTAAGGGTAAGAGATAAATAGACTCAGTTTGTCTTCTGCATGAATCAGAAGTCCCAAATATAAAAGCCATTTTAGGGATTATCAAGAAAACAGGAACACAGTGAATACACAAATACCTACCAGCAAGTATGGCTTCTGTTCAGGTATGAAAGAAAAATCACAGACCTCTGACCTTATGTCTGAAAAGCTTTGAACCCAATGGGGGAGCCGTGCTTCACGAACACCAGTATTTCTGTGCCCCTCCTCACCGTTTCCCTCCTAGCAAATGCTTTGCCCCATACCTATCACAGCACCCTGTATTTACGGGAGCTCCTAATTGCGCTTGGCTGGAGAGGTGGGAAGACGGTGAAGGTTCCCTGGCAAGAACGTAGGACCGAATGTTGGATTAGCATCAGGGGAGGGCCCGACAAGTTATTCCCTGACCCATGACATCGCAGACTTGGAAAGACAGCTGTTTTCCTGTGTTCCAAAAGCCTTGGGGACAAATGTGTGCATGGTGGATATAGTAATTTCACTTACACGAACGTAGCCGAAAGAAATCATCAGAAATGCAGGCAAGGGTGTATGCCAAAGATGATCGGCCGCATTATTTGTATTTGTTAAAAACTGGAAACATCCTGGGGTGCCCGGGTGGCTCAGTCAGTTAAGCATCGGGCTCTTGATCTCGTCTCCGGTCATGATCTCAAGGTTTGTGAGATCAAGCCCTGCATCAGGCTCTGTACTGACACAGTGCAGAGCCTGCTGGGAATTCTCTCTCTCCCTCTCTCTCTGCTCCTCCCTCATGCACGCACACTCTCTCTCCTTTCAAAATAAATAAACTTATATGTGTATACATATATACACATTTATATATATATAATATATAATATTTATATACATATATTATATATTATATGTACACATATTTTATTTTATACATATTTATTATATATATATATATATACACACACACACACACATATATATATATAAAACAACCTAGAAGCAACCTAAATGTCCAACAACTGGAAATGGTTGAGTGAATTGTGGCATGAAACGCCATGTTCTGTTATGCAACCGTTCAATGTGTCACTGGATCTTTTTTAACTTTGGGAAAAGCGTATAATAAAGTGTAATCAAAAAAAGCAAGACTGTGATTTCAGTATAAAGGACGCTCTCAACCTCATGAAATCCTGATGGGAAGAACAAGAGCAGTAAGGGAATACAGCCTTTTCTGCGTGGTGGGCTTCTGGACGATGGCGGCCCACAGTACCCTTGGAGGCTGGATTCTCTTGCTCGCCATCTTGCTTGTTGCTACAGATGATGGTAACATGCAGGTTGTTGTTTGATATCAGCCTTGCTTCGGGGATGGATCATACAGCCAGAGTATTAAAAAAAATTTTAGGAGAAAACCATAGCCAACAAATACTGCTTTGAACTACTGCAGGTCCTGTTTTTGACATTTCACTTGCAAGCAGTGAGAATGGAAATGAAGAGGGGCGCCTGGGTGGCTCAGTCGGTTGAGCGGCCGACTTCGGCTCAGGTCATGATCTCGCGGTCCGTGAGTTGAAGCCCTGTGTCGGACTCTGTGCTGACAGCTCAGAGCCTGGAGCCTGTTTCGGATTCTGTGTCTCCCTCTCTCTCTGACCCTCCCCCATTCATGCTCTGTCTCTCTCTGTCTCAAAAAATAAATGTTAAAAAAATTTAAAAAAAAGGGAGATAACAAAACGATGCAGATTCTCTACCTACTTTGCTAAAAACTGAGCTATTTCTGATAAGTTAAACACATCACTATTTAATTTTTTTAATGTTTATTTATTTAGAGACAGAGTGGGGGGGGGGCAGAGAGAGAGAGAAAGACACAGAATCGGAAGAGGTTCCAGGCCCTGAGCTGTCCGCACAGAGCCCGACGCGGGGTTGGAATTCACCAGCTGTGAGATCATGACCTGAGCCGAAGTCGGACGCTTAACCGACTGAGCCACCCAGGTGCCCCGTAAACACATCATTACTGATCGGACTTGTGCTAACGCTGTGTGCAGCAGAAACTCCCGGTCCGTCACATAGTGTGATGGGCTGGATTGCGTCCCGCACCTCCAGGTTCATATGTCGATGTCCTAATCCCCCCATCCCTGAGAGGGTGATTGTCTTTGGAGAAAGGGCTTTGAAGAAGAGATTTGGGGATATGGGTGGGATTGGTGTCCTTATAAGAAGAGATTAGGGGGCAGCTACGTGGCTCCATCAGTTAAGCGTCTATTCTTGATTTCGGCTCAGGTCACGATCTCATGGTCATGAGATCGAGGTGCGTCTCAGACTCTGAGCTGGGCATGGGGCCCTATTGGGACTTTCTCTCTCTCTCTGTCTCTGCCCCTCCCTTTCTCTCCCTCAAAAAATAAATAAATATAAAATAAAATAAAATAACAAGAGATTAGGACACAGACACTGCTATGGATTGAATGTGTGTGTTCCCGAAAAGTCTTACATCCTAACCCCCAAGGTGTTGCTGTTCGGAGGTGGGGACTTATGGGATGTGATTACATCAAGCGCCCTCATGAATGGGATTGGTGCCCTTATTTTTTTTGTTTTTTCAAATTTTTATTTAAGTTCTACTTAGTTAACATATAGGGCAATATTGGTTTCAGGGGTAGTGGTTTGGTTTCAGTAATTCATCACTTGCCTACAACACCCCGTGCTCATCTTCACAAGTGCCCTTCTAATGACTCTCATCCATCTAGCCCATCCCCCCCCACCCACCTCCTTCCATCAGCCCTCAGTTTGTCCTCTTTAAGAGTCTCTCTCGGGGCGCCTGGGTGGCGCAGTCGGTTAAGCGTCCGACTTCCGCCAGGTCACGATCTCGCGCTCCGTGAGTTCGAGCCCCGCGTCGGGCTCTGGGCTGATGGCTCAGAGCCTGGAGCCTGTTTCCGATTCTGTGTCTCCCTCTCTCTCTGCCCCTCCCCCGTTCATGCTCTGTCTCTCTCTGTCCCAAAAATAATAAACGTTAAAAAAAAAAAAATTAAAAAAAAAAAAAAAGAGTCTCTCTCTCTTTTTATACAACTTTGACCTTTGTATTGTAAAAAGAATGTAGTCGGTAACAACAAATAGAAAATGGAGAAAACCATAACCTCATTATACTAACAGGATTGTCATTCAGTCTTTTTTTTTTTTTTTTTTTTTTAATTTACATCCAAGTGAGTCAGCATATCGTGCAATAATGATTTCAGGAGTGGAATCCAGGGATTCATCCCCTGCTTACAACACCCAGTGCTCACCCCCACGAGGATCCTCCTAAATTTGGGATTGGTGCCATTATAGGAGACCTGCGGCACTCCCTCGCCCCTGCCACCATGTGAGGACACAGGGAACCAGGAGGTGGGTCCTCACCAATCACTGAGTCTGTTAGTGTCTTGATCTGCGACTTCAGCCTCCAGAACCGTGAGCAATAACTGCTCGTATTTACAAGCCACCTGCTTTGTGATATTCTGTTATGGCGCCCAGACCGACTAACACAGACACATCGAGAGGGAAGACCAGCCAAGGACACAATGGGAGGCAGCCCTCCGCGAGTCAAGCGGGGAGAAACCGGCACTGCCTGCTCCTTGATCTTGGGCTTCCAGCCCCCAGAACTGTGAGAAAAGAAATACATTTGGGTTGGGTAAGCCGCCCCAGCTGTGCTATGTTGTTACGGAGGCACTGGGACTGCGCACACACATCCATTAAAAATGTGTTTATGTTCATCTTTTGAGGATCCCAGACACCTCAAGACAGAAACAGTTATGGAGTAGTTGGGGGTAGGAAGAAGGGTACGTGCCAGGGTGGGCAGATGGGTGACCAGTATGACCCCGGTATGACCAGGGTGACCAGCCCAAGGCTCTGTGCTTAGAGACAGTAAAGCAAGAAGATATGGACTGGCTGGGTTTTTTAAAAAAATATTTATTTTTGAGAGAGAGCGCACACGTGGGGAAGGGGCAGAGAGAGAGAGAGAGAGAGACACGGAGAATCTGAAGCAGGCTCTGCGCTGACGACAGGGAGCCCGATGTGGGGCTCGAACCCACAAACTGCGAGATCACGACCTGAGCCGAAGTCAGAGGCTCGACACACTGAGCCACCCAGGCGCCCCTGTTTTTCAAACTGGACTGAAACTGCCCTCCTCGGATTTCCTCTTGCAGGGCTCCGCATCCGCAGTCCTTTTCTCTCGCTGGGAGCGGGTGTCACTTACCTCACGCACTTGCCCACCCAGGACATCTGACCCAGCTTGTATAACTGGAGCCAAAGGCCTTCCTGGCACAGAAAGGGGCCCAAAAGGTAAGGAGTACTTCAAAGGCTACGGTGATCGATCCACTTAAATTCTGCCTTGGGGACGAGTTGGGGTTCATACCCAACAGGAGGCTGAGGAAGGGGTCTGCCTTCTCAGTGCCGTGGGGCCTGCCTCTGCCTGGGCCTCTCTGACCCGACCAGGTCATTCGGGTGGGGACGCCCCGCTGCCTTCTGCCCTCTCAACACCTCGCGGGCTGCTCGGCTCGCTCAGAGGACTAGGACCTGAGCGAGGGAGGCCTTTTGCGTCCTGTCATTTGGCCCTGTCCTGTTTCTCGTCCACTTTAGTGACCCAGCATGCCCAGAGCCAGAACTGGCCTGTGGATTCCTGACAGCTTGGAATGTCTCCCTCCCTCCCTCCCTCCCTCCCTCCCTCCTTCCCTTCCTTCCTTCCTTCCTTCCTTCCTTCCTTCCTTCCACTTCCTTCCTTCCTTCCTTCCTTCCTTCCTTCCTTCCTTCCTCCTTCCTTCCTTCCTTCTTCCCTCTCTCTTCCTTCCTTCCTTTCTTTTAAGTTTATTTATTTATTTTGAGAGAGAGAGAGGGAGATATAGAATCCCAAGCGGCTCCACACTTGTCAGCACAGAGCCGGACCCGGGGCTCGAGCTCACAAACTCTGAGATCCTGACCTGAGCCAAGATTGGGATGGGATTCTGAGTGTGGGAATTCTGAGGTCTAAATGGAATCCACATTGTGGTTTCCACCTTCCCCTCTGCCAGCCGGCTCTAACGTCACTTGGTAAATTAGAACTTCTGACCACCTTGGTCCAACCCCTGCGTTTTCCCAGCTGCAGGCCTGGAATGTCCGTGGCTTTGGCATGGCTTCTGTCTGAGAAATGTCATTGATAACTTAATAGAGCAACCTAAAAATAGCACAGTGACCACTTTCCGTGAACACCAAGGAATTGCAAACCTACCCCCCTGGGTCTACTTGTCCTGGGATTGAGGCACTGCCCCCCCACCCCCGGCCTTGTGGGCTGGCTCTGGGCCATGCTGACCTTTTCACACACAGCAGGACACCCTCCTGTCAGTATTTCCAGGGGATGTCTCTGGTCACAGAGCAGTTTTTTCTTTTTTTAAATTTTTTTTCAACGTTTTTTATTTATTTTTGGGACAGAGAGAGACAGAGCATGAACAGGGGAGGGGCATAGAGAGAGGGAGACACAGAATCGGAAACAGGCTCCAGGCTCCGAGCCATCAGCCCAGAGCCCGACGCGGGGCTCGAACTCACGGACCGCGAGATCGTGACCTGGCTGAAGTCGGACGCTTAACTGACTGCGCCACCCAGGCGCCCCACAGAGCAGTTTTTTCAAAGGTGATGAAATGACTTGTCACTTGTAATTGTCCCCCTCCCTTCCTTTGCTGGTTGACTCTGCACAGGGCAGCCAGATTGGACTGTGCTGGAAGGCCAGGACCTAGCTGCCTGTGAGCTATTAATTCAACCTTAAATTTTAAAAATTTCTTTTTTTTTTTTAAATTGTGAAATGTGTTTTTTTGTAGTATATGACATGATCTCTGTTGATAGGTAGTACAGTAGGTTAAAAAAAATTTTTTTTTCGGTTCTGCTAGCAGACTGCCTGAATCCAAATCCGAACCCGGCAGGTTGGAAGCTGTGTGAGCTTAGGCCTGTTACTTAACTACTCTGGTCATAAGTTTTCTTGTTTGTAGAGTGGGGCTGGTAATATTGTACCTACTTTCTTTCTTTCTTTTTTTTTTTTTTTAACTGTTCTCTGTAGTTTTGACTCTGCTTCTGGTTTGTTGTTGTTCATTTGTTTTGTTTTTAGATTCCACAGATGAGTGAAATCAAATGGTATTTGGCTTTCTTTAAAAAAAAAATTTTTTTTTTTAATCTTTATTTGTTTTTGAGAGAGAGGCAGAGTGTGAGCAGGGGAGGATCAGAGAGAAAGGGAGACACAGGGGCGCCTGGGTGGCGCAGTCGGTTGGGCGTCCGACTTCAGCCAGGTCACGATCTCGCGGTCCGGGAGTTCGAGCCCCGCGTCAGGCTCTGGGCTGATGGCTCAGAGCCTGGAGCCTGTTTCCGATTCTGTGTCTCCCTCTCTCTCTGCCCCTCCCCCGTTCATGCTCTGTCTCTCTCTGTCCCAAAAAATAAATAAACGTTGAAAAAAAAAAATTAAAAAAAGGGAGACACAGAATCCAAAGCAGGCTCCAGGCTCTGAGCTGTCAGCACAGAGCCCAACGCAGGGCTCGAACTCCCAGACCGCGAAATCATGACCTGAGCTGAAGTCGGACGCTCAACCGACTAAGGCAGCCAGGCGCCCCAGTATTTGACTTTATTTTATTTTATTTTTTTAGAGAGAAAAATTATTATTTTTTTAAATATGTATTTTTTAATTTAATTTTTTATTTTTTTAAATTTACATCCAAATTAGTTAGCATATAGTGCAACAATGATTTCAGAAGTAGATTCCTTAGTGCCCCTTAACCATTTAGCCCATCCCCCCTCCCACAATCCCTCCTGTAACCCTCAGTTTGTTCTTCATATTCATGAGTCTCTTCTGTTTTGTCCCCCTCCCTGTTTTGATATTATTTTTGTTTCCCTTCCCTTATGCTCATCTGTTTTCTCTCTTAAAGTCCTCATATGAGTGAAGTCATATGATTTTTGTCTTTCTCTGACTGGCTAATTTCACTTAGCATAATATCCTCCAGTTCCATCCACGCTGCAAATGGCAAGATTTCATTCTTTTTGATTGCTGAGTAATACTCCATTGTATATATATACCACATCTTCTTTATCCATTCATCTGTTGATGGACATTAGAGCTGTTTCCATACTTTGGCTATTGTTGATAGTGCTGCTATAAACATTGGGGTGCATGTGTCCCTTCGAAACAGCACACCTGTATCCCATGGATAAATGCCTAGTAGTGCAATTGCTGGTCATAGGGTAGTTCTATTTTTAGTTTTTTGAGGAACCTCCATACTCTTTTCCAGAGTGGCTGCACCAGCTTGCATTCCCACCAGCAGTGCAAAAGAGCTCCTCTTCTCCGCATCCTCGCCAACATCTGTTGTTGCCTGAGTTGTGAATGTGAGCCATTCTGACAGGTGGAAGGTGGTATTTCATTGTGGTTTCGATTTGTATTTCCCTGATGATGAGTGATGTGGATGGAGCATTTCTTCATGTGTCGGTTGGCCATCTGGATGTCTTCTTTGGAGAAGTGTCTATTCATGTCTTTTGCCCATTTCTTCACTGGATTATTTGTTTTTTGGGTGTTGAGTTTGATAAGTTCTTTATAGCTTTTGGATACTAACCCTTTATCTGATATGTCATTTGCAAATATCTTCTCCCATTCTGTCAGTTGCCTTTTTAGTTTTGCTGATTGTTTCCTTCGCTGTGCAGAAGCTTTTTGTTTTGATGAGGTCCCAATAGTTCATTTTTGCTTTTGTTTCCCTTGCCTCCGGAGACTTGTTGAGTCAGAAGTTGCTGAGGCCAAGATCAAAGAGGTTCTTGCCTGCTTTCTCCTCAAGGATTTTGATGGCTTCCTGTCTTACATTTAGGTCTTTCATGCCTTTTGAGTTTATTTTTGTGTGTGGTGTAAGAAAGTGGTCCAGGTTCATTCTTCTGCCTGTCGCTGTCCAGTTTTCCCAGCACCACTTGCTGTAGAGACTGTCTTTATTCCATTGGATATTCTTTCCTGCTTTGTCAAAGATTAGTTGGCCATACGTTTGTGGGTCCATTTCTGGGTTCTCTATTCTGTTCCACTGATCTGAGTGTCTGTTCTTGTGCCAGTACCATACTGTCTTGATGATTACAGCTTTGTAATACAGCTTGAAGTCCAGGATTGTGATGCCTCCTACTTTGGTTTTCTTTTTCAGGATTGCTCTGGCTATTCAGGCTCTTTTCTGGTTCCATACAAATTTTAGGATTATTTGTTCTAGCTCTGTGAAGAATAGAATGTGAAGAATGCTTGTGTTACGTTGATAGGGATTGCATTGAATATGTAGATTGCTTTGGGTAGTATCGACATTTTAACAATATTTGTTCTTCCTATCCAGGAGCATGGAATACTCTTCCATTTTTTTGTGTGTCTTCTTCAATTTCTTTCATCAGCTTTCTATAGTTTTCAGTGTATAGATTTTTCACCTCTTTGGTTAGATTTATTCCTAGGTATTTTATGGTTTTTTGTGCAACTGTAAATGGGATCGATTCCTTGATTTCTCTTTCTGTCGCTTCATTGTTGGTGTATAGGAATGCAACTGATATTTGTGCGTTGATTTTATATCCTCCAACTTTGCTGAATTCATGAATCAATTCTAGCAGTTTTTTGGTGGAATTTTTCGGGTTTTCCATATAGAATATCATGTCATCTGCAAAGAGTGAAAGTTTGACCTCCTCCCGACCGATTTGGATGCCTTTTATTTCTTTGTGTTGTCTGAATGCAGAGGCTAAGGCTTCCAATACTATGTTGAATAACAGTGGCGAGACTGGACATCCCTGTCTTATTCCTGACCTTAAGGGGAAAGCTCTCAGTTTTTCCCCATTGAGGATGATATTAGCATTGGGCTGTTTATATATGGCTTTTATGATCTCAAGGTATGCTCCTTCTATCCCTACTTTCTTGAGGGTTTTTATCAAGAAAGGATGCTGTATTTTGTCAAATGTTTTCTCTGCATCTATTGAGAGGATCATATGGTTCTTATCCTTTCTTTTATTGATGTGATGAATCACGTTAATTGTTTTGCGGATTTTGAACCAACCATGCATCCCAGGTATAAATCCCGCTTGGTCATGGTGAATAATTTTTTTAATGTATTGTTGGATCCGGTTGGCTAATACCTTGTTGAGGATTTTTGCATCCATGTTCATCAGGGAAATTGGTTTATAGTTCTCCTTTTTAGTGGGGTCTCTGTCTGGTTTTGGAATCAAGGTAATGCTGGCTTCATAGAAAGAGTTTGGAAGTTTTCCTTCCATTTCTATATTTTGGAACAGCTTCAAGAGAATAGGTGTTAAGTCTTCCTTAAATGTTTGGTAGAATT